TTTTGCCCATAAAATCAAGTTATGTATTATTGTTAACAAATTCCACCTCCATCACAAACAACTTGTTAACATAGTCCCTAGAAGCTTTACGTCGAGCAGAAAGCGACAAAAATAGAATTGCTTAATATCATGGTCAGCGAGCGTTCATTTGACATACTTTGTGCTGCAGAAACATCAGAAGGAGACACACATAATAAATCGTCGTTCAAGGTAGAAGTTTCGTTATAAAATGAGACCGTTCTTACAGCAACAACCAGCTTGACTCAAGCCAAACAATATCTATTTCGAGTATGAACACGATCTGATACAACGAGGAGCTCGATCTTGTGCTGTATAGCATTCGCCATGCTGTTTCCGTGGAAGCTTGCAATGCGGTGCCAGCAACGTCAAGTGCTTCAGTGTTGCTGTGGCCGAACGTACGCGCCTTACACGAGAGTATGTTTGTTTGTGTGGAGCACATGGGCGGCTGGGACACTTAGATTATGTAAAACGTTCAGGGTACCTTTTGTCTAAAATATAATCAGAAACATGTTATACAGAAGGTTGAGAAATGCAAACTATGGCGGTGGAGCAAAACTTTGCCAAAATCCTTCGCTAACGATATATTATAATATTTTCCGTACAGCAAAAAACTTCTAAAAAAAATGAAAAACCCAAACCCAAACGGTAACCCCTCAAAACAATAACCCCAAAAAACCCCTTTTTTTAGCTGTAATAATTTAGTTTATCTAAACCACATAAGAAACACTTGGGTTTTATCTTCAATCGAGCAATCAACCACTCCACACCTAGATTATACATATATATATATATATATATTATAGGACACAGTAAAGCTCACATGTAGTTAGAGAAGGATATCGTAGTTGCCTGCTTGCAAATCCGCAGGGCAGATATCAGGCTGCGAAGCCGGCGCTGGAGATGGGGAGTCGCCCAGCAAACGAATCGGTAGATGAGACTATCTGTTAGCATGGAAGTTACTTAAGTATTATTTTGTACCGCAGTACTCCTTCCAATCGGCGGTTAGTTCATAACTACCCAGCATACAAACGGGTGCCGACTGATGTTTGTCACTATTCGCTCAGCGTTGTTTATCTGCACGATGCCTCACACATAATAATACTGTAATTATTAATGAGTGAAATTAATGCTAGTACTAGGGAAGTTAAACAGTATAGTATCACTAATACATTTAGGCAGTCAACATACCAAGCAACATTCTTTTCTTCGCTATACAGAATTCTTACTGTTAGCCGTAACCAAACCGTGGAAGTTTCTCTACAAACCTCTAGTGTGGTGACGAAACGAATGTATAAAACTATTCTGGTTGTCTTTATTTACATCTGAGCTAGCGCGCAAGCTATTACAAGTCCTGATGAGGGCCACGGCTCAGCAGAAAATACAGACGATCCCATCGGTAGTCATCGCGTTGGAAGCAGCCAGTTTATTCTGTATACGAGTATTCCTATCATCAATATACCACAAAAATGGATCCGAGTACCTTTAGCTCGGAGCAGTGCACAACAAATGCCAATTAAAATGATTGATGTAGCTCGTTACTGACATTTCGCCCCGTTTTGCTTTGCTATTGCCAGTTTTGCCTCACCATACCGAGAGCCCTCCTCTCTAGCCCAGCCTGTCTACATCAGACTCACCAACACTCAACGACTGCTGGACAAATATGCTAGCACCATGCTCGCATCCCTAGTTTGTCCCAAACAGAGCTTGATTAATGGGCTAGCAGAATCTACGATCTTCCTCTAGTTCCATCACAGGCAATGATCTGGTAGCTGTTAATGAGCAGAAAAGCGCTGGAGTCACCTCCGGTCTCACAGTTGGCCACACAGTTGCGGCACGCGGTGCGCCATCATAAACTCGACAGGTTCCTTGCCAGTTGGGTCTCCTAGTGTAAAGAGAAGGGTGTCACCGTCACGGATGAGGCAGTTAGACAGAGACAAAACGCTTATCCGTGATTCTAATGATCGAGTCACGTCCAAAGTGGTCAAAAAGGATAGGCTTCATCGGTTCAACATTCAGATCGGTCTTATGCAGTTATGACCGTTCAGTTCACATAGTTCAGCACCCCAGAATAGGAATATTTAACTTAACATTTATTCCATTTTACAACTGAGGGGTGAGCGGGAATAATATCTTGGGTTTGTATGCGACTGGTCAACAGGAACCGCTAATTTATTGCTGTTGAGGGATTATTCCAAGTCTAGGGACTACTATCGAGGGGGTCATCTGTAACACATTTGCTATGTCCACTACGTCCGCGATTTGTCGTGGTGACGTAAATTGCTCAATTTCTCCACTGATACGAAATCATGAGATGCAAATTGGGCTCTCTTTAAACTATTTTGCTGTCGCGGACGTGTGTCGTTGCCTCTATCATTTAGACTGCTGATATGGCGCACCAACGAGTGCTCGAGACTGTCTTGGAGACGGCTATGATGACGATGAGCGCTCGCTGACCCACGGAGAGGACTCAACGGATGATGGCGAACGCATGGGGACTATCAGCAAGGACTCATCTGATGATGGCGAGGAGTATCCGATGGCGGCAGGACGCGGCACGTCCTTATCAGCACTGTGAATGGACAAGTATAATGAGAGCAAGTGATGGAGACGTCGGGAGTAAGCAGGTTGATGAGAGGGAACAAGGAGATACTGACTAATCGAGTGACAGTAAGGTGAGCTCGAGAGTGTTGGGGGAGATACCATAGATAACTGAAATAC